TCCAAATGATAATAGCCATTATAATAGAAGCTATCGTCCTACGGATAAATGAAGACGGTGCTAGAGCTTTAGGCAACCTTACCGCTACATATAAACAATATCCTCCAAGACCTCCTCTACAGTATGCCTACATGAATTATACTTACTCAAATTATGCCAATCAATACGTATCGATTGTAGATGGAAATATTTGGTTCATGGTGTTTGAAGCTTTCCTTACCGTCTTATGTTTCTCTGCGGTAATCCAATTTCTCTATAATGGTCAAATTTTATCAATGCGTCTTTTTTTTTTAAATTGAAAAACTTACAATTTTATTTTGCTCTTTTTTAGATATATTTTCAAGTAAGATTCTGTCATTTTGCTGCTTAATTATTTCCTAGATTATCATGCCTTATAATGACTAATTTTTATTTTACCTTCCGTTATAGAATACCATAGAGGTAATATCGATAGGTCTTATAAATATTTGCTTGCTATTGTTTGCAGGTATACAAACCTATCAGAGTTTTAAATGGATAAATCGTATCAACTATCAAATTGAACTTGATTTCCCCGAAATTTCTCCACCTGTTCCTAAATTGCCAATGACTGTACTATATGCCGAATATGTTCAACTTGCTTTTCTGTCTTTATTCGTTACTGCTGCAATATTCCTTGGTTACAAATTATATGGTGAATTCGGGTGGAACATTTATAAAAAGATTGGTGCTGGCATTCATACTCAATGTAAGCTATATTTTTTTTTTGCTGTTTTATTTCTTGGTTATTATTATCATTAACTTCAATTTCATGAAATTTTTTTAGCCATGTACAGGACATATCTTAGTATGTTTACATTACCAACACTATTCGAATTTTAGAAACCATTCTGAACTTCTGAACTCACAATTTCAATCTAACTTTTAATGATTAGTATTCATTTTGCTAATGAAAGTGGATATATTCCTCTTGATGGGTTTCCAAATTCTTAATTTGGTATTCTTGTTCGCCGATGCTGCTCACAATACGCATACAATAATTATCCAAAGCGTTTTTATTGTTATTGTTATACCAACGTTAGGATTGGGAGTGTGGGGTGTATGTTTCCTTTTTTTTTTTGGTTTTGTCTTTACTTCACACGTCCAAAATTCTCATCGTTCTTTTTAACAGGTGCGAACTGAAAATAAGACTGCGATAATCATTTTTGCACTTTTTTCTGTGGCCACAATAGCTAATTTCCTATACATATTGGCCACATTTATCATCCAGCGTGATGAAAGTTTGTTGACATTCCTGGTAATTTACATTAATATACTAAATACTAAATTATTATCATTATTATTATTACTATTATATATATTTCTAAATATTTCTTTTTTTTTTTTTTAATTAGGATATCCTCGGTATCACCTTGATCATTTCGACATTATTTGTTGCATATTTAGCATTTAATAACTTTGGTATGCAGAACTCATGTTTTATAATTTACTTTATTTATTTACCTTATTTTTTTTTTCGGCTTTTACTTATTATTGTTATCTATTATCAGGAGCCGGTTTGAAGCTTCATTGTGAGTGTTACAAGAAAATTATTACTTTTTATCGTATCAGATCTATTACATAATCAATTATTCACCTTTTTTTCTTTCTTTTTTTTACAGTCCAAAAAAAGCAGTATGAAGGAATTGGTAACCCAGAAGATAGACGATTTGCAATTGATGATTAAAATAATGTTACTTGTGATCTACTAGTTCGATATTAATAGAAAAATTATACTACGTAGTTTAATATTTGGGAAGGCGGGTACTGAATTATAGCAATTGCGAATCATTCGGTTGTATAATAATATATTATTCTCTTCAAAGTAATTGTATCTCGCTATTTGCCTTTTTTTTTTTTTAAAAAAAAAAAAAAGAGTTTGTGTTGTTTCTGATTTCATTCAATAAGAAAAAGGTTTTTTTTGGCCTTTATTTAAATTTGGGTTCCTGGGTTTTTTTTTATTCATTATTTCTTTGCCTTTATATTTAATTTTTCTAATTCTTTTATATCTTATCATTGCCATTATTATTATTTAATAAAATGATCAAGGATTACTTTGTATACAAATCACTCTTGGAAATTATGATGTAATCTGATCGGATACCCTTCTAATGGTCGTTCTTTCTATACGCATATCATATAAAATTCTCTTTCTTCGTGGTGGGATCAACTGTTTTTTATTACAGTACTTATTTACGAATGACCGGACGTGGTATGAAATCGCTACGGAGAACGACTACCTTCCTCACTTTTATCTTCTTGTCTAGGTCGTTTGAATTGCTCTAAATATTCAACATTATTAAAGTTCAAATTGAGGAATAGACGGTGAGATGCACTTTATATCACGGTTTCAGAAGTCTAAAAAAAAATGTATAAACAAATTTTTAAACTTTTTAGCAAATATACATTTTTGCATATTATGAATAGCCAGAATTGTGAAGGTTCATTCATCCGCGCATCACATTTTTGAACTCTTGTCTAATATTCATCTACAAGTTGAATCCCTTTACTCTAACTTTTCACCTTAATTCTCACCTTAATTCTCGTCAATTCCCGCCTTAATTCCCAGTATGTCATCGAGAGCTGCTTGAAAACCTTCCATTACTTACTGTAATGCTACTAATTGTCCTTAGATTATCATAGATTTATATGTGATTTCCATCGTAGATGACGCCAGCGAATAATGTGATAAAATCTGAGGATGGCATAATAGCGATAATAAGTGAGAATATCTGTTAAGTAAGCCTGAATTGGGTAACTGTAGTGAACCTCGGTGAATTATATTGTAGCCAATATGCGATACACTATTAAAAAAAATATATATCGATATATATATAGATATATAATAAATATTATTGCGAAGGAAATTTTCTCTAGATAAATCTTTGTAGAATTTACGTCCTAAATCCAGACCTATCATTCTGTTATTAGCAATATTAAAGGATGATAATTTCTTTATTCACTAAACCATATTGCTCATTCAATCATATTCAAAGACTTTTTTATTACATATAAAAAAATTTTATTTTTGTTTTTTTTTGTTCTATTTCAATTATTAAATATATAGTTATATATAAATGCTAAGTGAGATTGATATCTATTCCAATGGAGCAATGGCGCCAAAATGTCAACCTTTGTTATTATAGCTTGTGATATTGTAATTTAAGAATCATTCGTAACTGTTCAAGCTACTGTAAATCGCATATAGGCAACGCAGATATGTTACATTCCACCGCTTAAAAACCTATACTATACCCGATGATAAAAAGCCAGGAAAAAGGGTATATTAATTAATTATTTCTGCTTGTACTGTATAGCTTATAGATAAATTACCAGATTCTTAAAATCGATTGCTGATCGATCGATCACATGCAGGATTAATTCTAAATTTAAACATGATTGGCAAAAAATGAGTATGAGATAAAAGGCCTATTATAGTTATTACCGTTACGTATGAAAGATTTGCGGCGTTTATCGTTACTGTAAAGACCCTTATCATCATTTTCAATAATAGGTACCTTTTATTGTTGTCATTTTTTGAATAATCCTACGTATTATCCATAATATTACTAGTATACCTATCATGGATTAGACCCGGATGCGAACCACGGAATCTTTTTCAAATAGTTAGATTACTTATAAATGCCAAGTATGTATACACTTAATTTTTTTTTTACTATGTAACCTCTCAGCATGTACTAGACCCATAATGGGCAGGCAATTATTAAGATAACGATACCGATAGCATACGTTTCGCATGCCGGGTCTACTAAAGGGTTTAAAAATTGATGGACCCGGGTCTTGTATATGCACTTTTACAGTAATAGACAAGTGACGCTTCTCTCTAGTTAACCAAATTAATGTATCTCAATTTTACGTACGTATAAATTTATATAACAAATAAAAAACTTTTACTTGTTTTTCTTAAAATATTATACAGATGCGATTATAATAATTTTGTGCTTATCGGAACCTAAAAATACTGTGATTTTAGACAGGTTGTGATTATAGCCAGGTGACTGTAGTGAGGGCTGACTGTATTTACAGCTGTTTACAAAAAGACATGGAACGGCAATTTTTATGACATACATATGTATAGGAAATCAGGAAATTGGAAATCTAAGTGACGTAGTGATATAATAAAGATAAACTTCTATTTATCGTATCATTTATATGGTGCTCCAAGTCACTTCACATCAAATGCGCCAAATTTGAGTCTATATAAATGCTTTTT